GCGATAGAGTGAAGCCGCGGAAGTCGAAGCGCGAAGTGACGAGGGTTCACTGTATTTGAACAGTATGGCTCTTGAGAAGGATGTTATAAATATCCAAATGGCTCTTGGCAGAAAAAGGTTCCATACCCCTGGCCTAGGCTATACAGTGTGGCCCAAGGTCCTCAGGTAAACAAAGACACTCTTCTCAGGCTGAATACTCCAAGGGCTTAGGGATCACCCTTCAGGAACTGATGACAAAAGCTTCTTTCTGGGCAAGGTTAATTCTGTCCGGCACAAGAGTATGTTCTGATATGGAATGAGCTCTTCTGGGCCACATCTGCTTTCAAGGTGAGCACCAGGTTCCTCTGTGGATGTGATGTTGGGAGAGGGATTGGAGAGACAGTATGCCTGCTCCGTTCTTGGCTCCTTGCCTTCTGCCATAAGAGAAGTCCAGGGACCCAGGGACATGGAGAAGCAGTGAGGGGCAGCAAAGGTAAATATGCCAAGCCTGCAGACATCATAGGTCATGAATTGTCCCCATCTTTGTTCAGATGTCCCTCATTTTATATTTTATATATATTTTTTATATTTTATATATATATATATATATATATATATCCAGAATCCTTCAGTAATTGCATAATGAATCACAGAGAAAACAAGAGAAAATCCATGTTTATTCTCCATTACTTTGAGATGAGCTCGATCATGGCATAGTTATTGGCATAGTTATTGTGCACGCATCTAAAATCAAATTTTCTCCACCGCACCCCATCCCACTCTGTTATCCTGTTAAGAACTCCATGTTCTTCTTGGTTTTGAACACTACGCATTCACTACATGGCTTGACATCAGTGTTAGGCCAGGTTGAGTAGAGAAACAACTTCAGTGACACTCATACGTGTGTAAGAGAGAGCTTTATATCAAGAGGTAATTATATATATGAAGCAAACATCCCAGCCGAGTCCACAAGTCCAATACTGGTCCATAAGTCCCTCTTCAGACTCATGCAGTCACAAGCAATGACGCAGAATGCAGAAACATCACTGGCTGGTGGGTGCAAAGTCCCATGGGTCCAATGGTGGTGGCTCTGGCAGCTCTCCAAGTGACTCAACAGCAGCAAGATAAAGGCAGAGAGAGGGGGAATTTCCCAGGACCCTCCTTATGAGGAGGTCACACCCACAAGGAGGCACCATCAGGCTAGACTCCACCCTTACCCTTCAAGTTCACATGAAACTGTAACAATCACAACACCCAAAGTCTGAACTCAGTCAGTCCTAAAGAGGTGAGGATATAAAGTTCTTAGAGGCACTCCCTGAATAAGGAATATTAGATAAATATTAATTTAAGGAATCCCAAAGCCCCAGCCTCTCCAGCAGGTCTCATCAGTAAGCAAAAGGAAACTGTTGTTCAGGGCCCTAAGACCAACCTGTGAGGCAAACCTACGATGGGCCCATGATTATGGAGAATCCTTCTGAGGAATCAGTCTCCCCGCCTTTCTTCTTGCCTATGAGGAAGCTCCTTGGAAGAGAGGATGTCAAGACTTTGCCTCATCATGTTTGGTTTAAGTAGAAGGGTGTTGTGCTTGGTAAAGAACATCGTGCTTGGTCAAGTAGAAGGGCAGAGAAAGAGAGGAAGACCCTCAATGGGTCCAGAGAGTGTCCTGTTCTGTTGAGTGCAGGGTCTCTGTGTTTCATAATGAACTTGACAGCACCTAACAACAACAACAAACATGATGTCAGCAGGACCCTCCCTCGGGTTCTCCTATTCCTACACTGGGACTAGACCAATGGTTCTTGGGCTCTTCTGTGGTGGTTGTTGGTCTGCTCCAACTCATGGTGACCCCTGAACAACACAATGGCCCATGGCCCTGTTCTGAGCCATCCGCTGAGCAACTATGGACTGGACCATTGGGATCTATAGGGGTTTTGGAAATGGACCGCAAGGCCTTTCTTCTTAGTCTGTTCAAGTGAGGAAGTTTTGCTGAATGCTGTTCCACATCATCAACACACAAGCTTCCACTGACAGATGGGTGGTGGCTATGGATGAGGTGCGTTGACTGGGCATTGAATTTGTGCATCTCATGTGAATGAATTCTACCACTCGACCATCAATGTTTTTTATGCCATTGTTATTGTGGTTGCTGTGTTGTTGTTAGGTGCCATCAAGTTGGTTCCAACCCATAGTGACCCTCTGCACCCCAGAACAAAACACTGCCCAGTCCTGTGCCACCCTCACAATTGTTCCTATGCGTGAGGCCATTGTTGTAGCCACTATGTCAATCCATCTCCTTGGGGGCTTTCTTCTTTTATTACCTCCCCTCAACCGAGGATGATGGCCCTAATACCACCCTCTACTGCTTTTCTAGGGTCTAGGAAATACACCCTGACATATAGACACATAGGTAGACAAGAACCAAAAAAGCCCCAGATACACAAAAGTTTTACAGAGTTTCTAAGGGCTCACAGGGTCCCTGAGACTCATGCTGGCTCTGTACATTGTATCCTTCCCCAAACCACAGGAGGCATTTCTTTGTCAGGCCTCCAGACAGTTGTCTACTATTGGTATTTCTTCCTAATGAGGAAAATAATATTTTGGTAAATTACTGGTCACAATCAAAAGAATCACTCAGGATATATCTTGGACCTCCTGATGCCAGCCTTGTATTGGATCTATCAGTTTATAGAATCTGAGTCCTAGGTGAGAAGGGTATCACAACTGTGGTTTTATAGGACAGTTATTCAAAAAACTCACTGCAATCAAGGCAATGCTGACTAATAATGACCCCCTGTCAGATTCTGAGATGATAACTGTTTACTGGAATAGAAAGCCAGTCTAACTTCCATGTTGCTGTTCTTGGTTTTGAACTGCCAACCATGTGGATTGCAGCCCAATGAGCAACCACTCCACTACCAGGGCTCCAGTTACAGGGTAGTATTTCTCAATAATCAGAAAAATATATTTATGTTAGGCCTTCCTTACTTTAAATTTTTACATGAAAAAAAAGAATGCTATATCAAACGAGAACCCCAAGTATCTACATTAGCATTCTAGATGATCAGCTTCCAACATAGTTTTTGTGTGTGGTGGGCAATGAAAGCGTATTTAAATGCTGCCTTCTCCCTTCATTGAATTCATCAGGGCAGGACCATCTTCTTGCCTGCACACAACCACTTCTACTCACACATCTCCACTGTGTGCCTTAACTATCTTCACTGTGAAGTCCAGTGTTCATAAAGCCTACTATCTCGTGCCTCTGGTGGTTGGAATTTGGTTCATGGTAAGACAACTTTGGACCATTGAATTAACCAAATGCAAATAGTCTAAGTGAAAGACAAGGGTGTCTCCGGCATCATTTACAATGATCACAGCACAGCAATAGCTAAGAAAAGACTAAGGAAACAGGTATCCTGACAATCACCTAATGTCCCTGGGAAGTACAAACACTACCAGCCCTTTATTTCTGAAACACCATCATTCCTTCCTTCCTACCGTTATTCCTTTATTCCCCAAACACCGTCCAACCAACCCTTCTCTCCTACTGACCGGGATGCTAAGATGATGTCAATTGTCCCCAACCCCTAAGAGTTCTGACCATGCAACTCCAACCCTAGTGCCAAGGCCATGCGAAATTCAGTATCTACTGGCCACAGGCCCTCCTCCTGCCCAGAAGACAACTGTCCCTTTCCTCCAGGGCAGAGGAAGCCCCTCACAACTGACTCTCTCATACTCCCCCTTCTTGTTCTCAGACAAAAACAGCGAGCTGATCTGTTTGAATGAAAACGGGGGCTGTCAACAGTACTGCAGTGACAACCCAGGGACCAAGCGCTCCTGCAGCTGTCACCAGGACTACAAGCTCATGGCTGACGAGGTGTCCTGTGAGCCCACAGGTAACTGGTTCCCAGGAAGTGCTCCCAGCATGCCATGGGGCCTCATTTGCTGTTTACTGTTAGTCAGGTGAGGTGGTGACGAGGTCCTGTCCTAGTGTGTGTTATCTCAGATGACTGAAAAATGAGACAGGGTGGCATAACCTCTACTGAGTGTCCCCTAGGTGCTGGTCACATTGTGAGGCAGAGAGACCCAGGGTTAAGAAAGCTGTCCCCACCCAAGAGCAAGCCAGAGCGTAGTATTATCAGACTCAGTTTACCAGGCCAGTTTTATTGGGCTCAGTGGTCTGCGGCCCATCCTCAGGTTCAGGCTAACAAGAAAGAAAACAGGGGACCTCTCTTGGAACACTGACTCCCGGAACAAAGAGGTTGGCACTTTTTAAGCACATGGGGAAAGGGGACCTGATCTCTGTGCAGTAGCCTCCCAGGTGCTAGGCATCCTTCCAGGCAGAGGGAGGGGAGGCAGGACTACAGTCTGGCCAGTGGACTTCCAGCTTCTGGAATGGCTCCATGGTAGCACAAATGGGTAGTTTCGGGAGCTTTTGTTCCTTGGCTTTATCCTTCGGAATTAGTCAGAAGACCAATGTTTTCTTGATGCATGATCCGTGATCCAGCTGGAACCAGCTCTCAATCAGTAGCTGAAAAACTTCTACCTACAGAGGGCTAGCAGGGAATTGGTGGGGAGGGGTGGTCTTTTCTAATTGATTGAGAAGACACATCTCGTGACTTGTTTATGGTTCCAAGTGCCCTTATATCTTATCCATATGGGGAATGGATAACCCAGATGGCTTCCACAGTGATCAGAAGTTGCCAGAGCAGACAGCCACCTGCCGCTGACACCCTGGAAGTAGCTCGCTGGATGGTTATCTGCTGAGACTCTGTTGGCCTCACATCAATTCCACACTCCTGGAATCCCAGAGACACTCAGGACCTCTGCCAAGGTTTCCGGGATCTAATGACTCCACACTCAGGTTGTGGAAAGCCTCCTGCACAATTCCAGAGTCCAAAGTTTTCAAAGGGAAGTATTTTTAGAAAAAGGAAAAAGATGGTCCAAAGCAAACTCAAACTCAGCAGGGCTACAAAGTCAACGGCTGAATGAGGTGCCCCTTACCAATTGTGCCGTGTGTAGATGGATGTTCCTCATCTGAAATTTAGCCTGGCCCTTCTAAATCTGTGAGCCACCCCCCAGGCCCAAGAACTTTACTGGAGCATATTGGTGATATGGGGGTTTTCAGTCTGGGTTGGCTAAAGAAAAAATTTAATAGACACTCATTTGTGTTACAGAGAGATCTTTATATAAAACAGGAATTGTGTATTAGGAAAACATCCCAGCCCAGTACATATCAAGTTCATAAGTCTGATATTATCCCACATGTAAAAACTAGTCCATAAATTCCTCTGCAGAAAAGCTGATGGTGCCCGGCTATCAAAAGATAGAGTGTTTGGGATCTTAAAGGCTTAAAGCTAAACAAGCAGGCATTTAGCTCAGAAGCAACAAAGCCTACATGGAAGAGGCACCCCAGGCTGTGTGATCACGAGGTCTCGAAGGGATCAGGTATCAGGCATCAAAGAACAAAAAATAAAAGCATTTTGAAGGAAGGGGAGTACAGATTGGGGACCCAAGACCCATCTGTAGACAACTGGACATATCCTTACAAAAGGGTCACGTGGAGGAGACGAGCCAGTCAGGATGCAGGGTAGCAACGATGAAACATACAACATTCCTCTAGTTCATTGATGTTCCTCCCTCAACTCCCACTATCATTATCCCAATTCTACTTTAAAAATCAGGCTAGACCAGAACATGTACACTGGTACAGATAGGAACTGGAAACACAGGGAATCCAGGACACATGATCCCTTCAGGACCAGGTTGAGAGTGGTGATACTGGGAGGGTACAGGGAAGGTGGGGTAGATAAGGGGAACCTATTAGAAGGATCTTTATATAGCCATCTCCCTGGGGGGCAGACAACAGTAAAGTGAGTGAAGGGAGTTGTAGGACAGTGTACTATATGACAAAATATTAAGAATTTATAAATTATCAAGGGTTCTTGAGGGAGGGCAGACCAGGAAAGAAGGGGAAAAAATAAGGAACTGATACCAAGGGCTCAAGGAGAAAGCAAATGTTTTGAGAAGGATGATGGCAACAAATTTACAAATGTGCTTGGCACAATGGATTTATATATGGATTGTGATAAGACTTGTACAAGCCCCAAATAAAAAAAATTTTTTTTTAATTCCTCTTCAGACTCACGAAACAAATGCATTGATGCCAAATGTGGGAAACTCACAGGCTAGAGGGTAGAAAATCTTGTGGACCCAGTGGTGGTGGAACCATCTCAGAGCTAGTGTGGGACTCTATGTGGTTCCTTCAGCTCCAGGGCTCTGGCTCCATCACTGTGTCTCCTTGTAGATTGTCAACAGGAATGTCTCGCAGAGAGTATCAGTGTGTCCCACCTCCATCAAGCTACTTATCTCTGTAGTGCCTCCAAATGAGGTCATCAAGGTGTGACCTGATTGACAGGCTAAACTCCACCCCTTCACTCTTAAAAGACTCAAGTTGACACCAGATATGTAACTACCAGAGGAAGAGAGAGTGGAGTAAAACTAACACTACTTTTGCTAAGAGATATCAATCAAACACAAGAAGCATATGATCTTAGTAATTTCAAATATCTAGAAAAAAATTCAACTGCCACCCACTCAATTCTGATTTATAGCGATCCTGTAAGGAAGTGTAGAACTATTTCTGTGGGTTTCTGAGACTGTAACTCTATGAGAATAGCAAACCCATCGTTCTCCCTTAGAAGCGACTAGTCATTTCAAACTGCTGACCATGTAGTCAACAATCCAAAGCCTAACTCACTACACCACCAGCGCTCCTTATATCTAGAATAGGCAGTTGCATAAAGACAAAACTTTAGTACTCATTCTCAGAAGCCAGGCAAAAGGCAAGAAGAGAATGGTTGGGTTTTGCTTAATGAAGGCTGAGTTTCTGTTTAAGGTGATGAAAACCTTTTAGAGATAGATAACAGTGAAAGTTGCACAACATGATGAACGTAATTAATGTCATTGAGTGTGCAGTTAAAATAGTTAAAATGAAAAAAAAAAAAGAAAAAAAAGTTAAAATGGCTCTCTCTATATATATATATGTGTATCCAGTAAATAATATATTTATTTATTCCATATAGTTTACATAAGTATATATTTAATTATATGTAAATATATTTAGATAGAAATACATCCACATAAATATATGTATTCACAACAAATATTTTAAAAGGAACTCCCCTTCTCTGAAAAGACACTACCATTGTACTCCATATTAGTTCATCTTTGATCATTCAAGCCACACCTTTCTCTTGACAATGTAGCAGAACCTGGCTTTGAGAAAAGGTTCGCTGGAGGTGTGGTATTGAAACATTCAATCACTGATGGAGAGGTTGCAGCTTGAGCCCACCAGCGTCAGGGCCAGAGAAAGATGCCTACTTCCACCAAGATCCCCTCTGGTGCTGAGCTGGCTGAACACACAGCAGCCCTAGGGACACAGCAGAACTGTCCCAGAGGGTTTCCAGGGTTGCAGTCTTTAGGGGAGCAGAAGGCCACAAATCTCCCCTGCTGGGTTCAAACAGCCAGGTGCTCCAGTGCATAATCACCTGGGCTACTTCCATAAGAATGACAAGCTTGGGAAACCTGGAGGCAGTTCTACTCTGTCCACTAGGGCTGTTGTGAGAGGGAGCCCACAGAATGACAGCAGGTTTAATTTTCAAGTAGGACTATCTCCTCCCAAACCAGCCTGTGGCCCCTCTCTTCATCTGACAGCTTCCCAGCAATCAGCGTCTCCCCCAGCTCCAATCCAGCAGGGTTGCAGGATCAAGGGGCATCTGGGTAGAACTCAGCCCTCTTCCACTCTGAGCCCTAAAGGTCTCTCCTTGAGTTCCTGGAAGGAGCAGCTCTGTGCTAAAAGGGAAACAGAAAGCCACAGCCTCACATCTCTGAGTAGAAAGCCCTTGAGCCCCTGGATCCACAAGCGCATCTGTCCTGCATGAACCCCTGTGTCTGACTGACTTTTGTTCTCTACAGTCAAATATCCGTGTGGGAAAATACCTGTCCTGGAAAAAAGAAACAACAGCACCTCCCGAGTTCCATTTGTGGGCAGCGTGCTGTGTCCCGGAGGGAAATGTCCCCAAGGGAAATGTCCTTGGCAGGTAAGTCTCCCCTGGCTTGATGGGCTGCTCAGAACCCTGGCATCCATCACTGGTTTTCTCCATGAATGTTCAGGCCCTGGTGTGGTTGCAGACTTTTGAATGAAGGCTGACACAAACTCACACCCAAACTCACTGTCACCAAATCCATTCCGGCTCATAAGGACCCTACACAACAAGGTTGCACTGCCCCTGTGGGTTCCCAAAGCAGAAAGCCTCATCTGCCTACCTCAGAGCGGCTGGTAGTTCAAACTGAAGCCAAACTATAGTCGTTGCTTCATAGACTGGAACATGATACAATTTAATCCTCACAACAGCTCTTTGAAGTGAGATGCAAGGGTGTATTTGGAGGAGTCAGCGGACATGAAAATACTGATGAGTTAGTGGACTCCCACACCAACGCAGGTGGCCCTTGAACTACACGGTCTGAACTTAAAGGCAACTGAGATGCATAAGAGCTTTCAGGTTGTTCTTCTGGTGAGCTTAGGGCCTGCTAGGATCTGGGAAAACCAGTATGGTGCTAGTCATCTCCATGTGAGCAGTTCAGATGGGCTTAGTGTCTCATGGATCTTTAAGTGGATAAGCATAAACCTGGTGCTCACACAGCAGGAAAACATTAGCTGTTAAGTGGCCGGGGAGAGTTCAAACTCATATTGTTCAAAGGTCAGAAACTCCTCAGGACTTGGTCCTGAGCCTCTATACTATTCAAGAGTCAAATGAAGTTCTATGGTCCCCAGATAGTATACTATTAGGGTATATATAACAAACCAAAAAAAAAATCCAAACACACTGCCATGAAGAGGATGCAGGTTTATAGCGACCCTACAAGACAGGGTAGAAGTAACTGCTCTGGAGGGTTTCCAAGTCTGTAATTGCTTATAGGAGTAGAAAGCCACATCTTTATCCCTCAGAGACCTGCTGGATTTGAACTACTGTCCTGTGGTTAGCAGTTCAATACATCATCCACTACACCATCGGGACTCCCATACCCATAGAAAGGACAATATAATTCTGTGGAGGCCTAGGGCAGTGCTAACCATTACCACGGTCTGCTGCTAATTGACAGCACCCCGGAAGAAAAGCCTGATGATAAACTTTTGGCGGGGAGAAAATCAGCCCTTGAAAACGGTGGAGCACAGTCTACTCTGACACACTGCAGGGGCCATGAGTCTAAATCAAGTCCACAGTAACTGCGTTCTAGCTGTCTCCTCAGCATAGTGCACTTGCCCCTCCAATCCCTGAGGCGGGTGCAGCTAGATGAGAGAGGGAGACCCCTACCTGAACAAAATGAAGCCAAGGAAGGGATCTGCAAAGGTGCCAGGAGTTCAGAAATGAATGGCTGAGCTGTCCTGAAGTGGGTGTGGGGAGGTGAGAAACCAAGGAAGCTGTGAGAGCAATGTGACCTTTCCATGTCTGCTCTACCCTGTGCAGGCTGCATTGAAGGTGCAAGGGGAACTTCTGTGTGGAGGGGTATTGTTGGGTGCTTCCTGGGTGCTCTCGGCAGCCCACTGTGTCTACAAACTCTACCCAAGGACATGGAAGTCTGTGCAGGTGGTTTTAGGTAGGTGTGGTCTTTATCTCAAAGTCAGTCCTTGAATGATGGCACAAGGGGTGAGGAATCACCACACTCCACCCCTCATCTCCATGACCAGATGAACTTCTTCAGAGGAGTCAGTATGCCCACCTCTCTGCTCA